ATATGTATTGGTCAATGACGTATAAGGATTTTCCACAGGCCAATTTTAAAATACTAAAAATAATAATATCTGTTGCAGTTGTTCAAACATTAAGGATGTTGTGCACAAATAAATTCATTTTAAAAATTGAATTTAAGTGATTTCAGTGTTTTTTCATCTGGATGAATTGTCTGTAGCCTTAAAAAATGTCATGTGGTGCGACTGTGATTTATCTTAAAATTGATTAATTTCCTTAACATGCTTAAACATTATTTTACATATAGTTCTTAGTAAGTAAAGTGTTTAGAAACCAAGTATTTGCAATTCTTTTGAGTTTTTACAAATAATGATCTCATTTTTTGTTCTATAATTTCAGAGTTGCCTTCTTAAATCTAGTTAACAGATTTATTTTTCCTATAAATCACATAAAACTGATAGAAATATTTTAAAAATATAATTTACTAAAGCATACTCTACCTGTGATTCATATTTCAGCCACAGAAATAAAATTTTTTTTTTATTATTTAATACAGTGATTGCTTTTATTGGTCGCACCACATGATAAGTGGTCGCTCCAAATGACACGAAGACCTTATATAGTTAAAATTGATCAAACCCTCACCATGTGTCTGCAGGACATTGTCTCAGGTCATCCATGCAGTTGCTGTTCTCCTGCATCCATTCATCTGGCAGCACACGCTCATTTCCATCGTTCCCGAGATCCTAATTGACGTCATCATGGCACCCACACCATATCTGCTGGGTGTCCAGAAACGCTTCGCAGATCAGGTCACTGACCAGACTGAGGTGAGTGACCAGACTCCTGACACTAGTAAAACATTACAAGGGATTTACATTTCAAACCCTGCAAGCTGACATCTGAATTCATCTACTCACCCAGCTGCTTGTTGTTGACCTATCAGAAGGCAGGAAGGAGACATTTATCAAGTGTGTAAGTTCATGCGAACATCTTAGAGGACATCTTTTATTTTGTTGCCATGAAAAGTGACTGATGAATATAGTGTGGGTGACTTTGTTTGAAATGTTTCTCCAAACAGATGGGAGATGAGGACACAATATTACCTCACAAACTCAAGGAGGAAATCAAGCAGGCCCTCAGTGCCAAAAATGAGAAATCAAGTAAGCAACTTTTCTGTATCCTATTTTATATTAAGTGGAATTTGCTTGGGCAAGCTCTCTCATTGTTTATAAGTCACCATGAAGTCAAAATTGACAATTCTTATTTTAATAGAATATTGCATTATTTATTATAAATGATAATCAAATGATTGGGCCTGGTTAGGATTGGGTTCCTTCAGTTTACACTCGTTCTGACTTTGACATTTTTATGTTTAATCACGTCACTAATTGGTGAGTGGAGCGGGAATTTACAGTAGTAAGCCATCAAACCATTTAGACTGGGACAGTGTAAATGTACCGCTGGATCTGATTGTTTTCCTGTACGACCATGTATGGGCGAGCGAATTAGGGCAAAGTAATGGCAAACTACGTCCACTTTTAATAAGCATGTGACTGCAGTGGGATGTTTACATTCCCCTTTCACTGTGAATGTTACGACAGATCTGTGCACTTTCCCTTGAGTTGCTAGTTGCTGTTCTATCCTTTTGTTGGTTGTTTGTTTTCCTCTGCCTGTTGGCTGTTGCTGTTACTCTATGTGGTTGTATGAACTAGAGCCAGACCGATATTATCGGCTGATATTAGGCATTTTCCAAAATATCGGTATCGGCAGTTATAATGGCTGATAAATGAATATTTAAAAAATAAAATAAAAACAGATGAAACACGCTTCAATCATCTCTCCTTGGCCTGTTATATTGAAAATGTATGTTTTACAATTTGCAGTATGATGTTATCTATTGCTAAATTATGGCTCATCATAGACTAGCTAACCACAAAGCTAACCTAAATAAAGTAATGATTACTGTATTTATAACTAGCATATCTCTAGTTACAGTCCCTGCATTGTAAAATGTACGTTTTACTTGCGAGGAGTGAACATTTAGACATAGAGAAAAAGTATCAAACGTATCTTGTGCAGAAAAGTTAGCTTTTCTTTTACACGTGTGTGAAATCCAACAATATTTAATAATAAAAAAAAAATATCGGCCGATATATCGGAATATCTGATTTTAAAACCCAAAAATATTTGTATCAGCCTTCAAAATCCTTTATCGGTCGGGAACTGTACGTCACAGGCTAGAGTGGGTTTATTTATTTTATTTTATTTATGGCCAATTCCCCTTTTTGTTTGTAACCAGCCTTGGTGTTAGTGGAGCCAGGGTAACTCCTGTATAAGAGACCTCAAAAGAAAGAGGAAACCCGCTTTCCAGTCTTTTTAAAATAGTTTGCAGTGCTGTGTATTGTGAACTTTAATGCCTTTTAACCATATTTATTAGAGTGATGTGAGTGCAGACATTGAACTCTAGTGTGTGTTACTTCAAATGAGGTCTGTGTCTTTGTTCACCGGTGGTAGTGCGAACTTAGCCTTCCTTTAGTGTCTTCTCAACTGCTTTACTGGCTCCCGTGCGGATGGCTTGGTATTCCCTAGTTATATGTTCATATGTTTGATTTATTCTTTTTTTTAGACCAACCACAACCTTCAGTCACTCCTCAATAAAGATTGTATTTTTATACTATCTTTAAGAACCTGTGTGTGTACATTTTATTGGAGTAGAGTTTCAAGTTAGGAAATCATTATAAAGCAGCCAAAGATAAATTATGAAAATGTGATTGGGTCAAACCCCAACGGTGCATCCGGTATTTTAATTTGAAGTAGCAGGTCATCCAATGACTTTTCGCCTACTGTTTTGTTTTTCGACTATAGCTGCATCCAAAATTGCATACTTCCCTACTATGTAGTAGGCAAAAAACAGTATGTGACAAGAGCAGTGTGTCTGGATTCACAGTACTCATAAAAGAGTAAGCAAAAAGTACCCGGATGACTTACTACTTCCAGCGAGATCTGAAGTGTGTATACGGTGAGAGTTAAGCAACGCAACTGAATCTGGAAGGTCACATGATAATGAAAACATGGCGGGTTATAGTATGTCCAGATTACATTCATACTATATAGAACAGACTTTTTTAGTGGTTGTGAAGTAATTACTTATTCAAAATAAGTACCTACTCAAGAGAGAATGTGATTTCGGGTGAAACCTCTGAATTAGGATATAATGCTCAGTTGCCATATTGTTTTTTGCATACTATATAGAAGGGAAGTGTTCGATTTCAGACGAGTTCTTCGTTCGCTTGTCATGTGACAGATGCAATAAACAAATCAGCATGTAAAATTGACCCACATCGTTTGTGCTATAGTCTAGACATGAATTACCAAATCTTACAAATTACATTAGGGTCTAAAGAGTGTTGCCAGATCTCGAGTCTAACAAATAAGCTCAAAATAAGTTACTTACCACATCAAACAAGCCTAAGCTAACCCAAATAAAACTTTTGGTAAATAAGCCTAAAAACGCAATTCACAACCTGCAATATTTACAAGTGATTTTGTTATGACAAAAAATAGACAAAATGTTAAGAGCGAAAAACAAAACACTTTTGCTTTTGCTTATTGGAAATTTCCTGACACACTTTAAACGCTAATATTACATCAGAAAATAGTGGACACCAAAAGGTATGTCACACAGCCGCAAGAGATGCCAGAAACTGAATATAATCCACTCATAACAATGTATAAATGTGGTTTATTTTTCTCACACGCTCATTTTAAACTAATGGTCCATGTGTTTGTGTCATTCATCACTTCAGGTGTTGAGGAGTTGAACCAAGTGGTCCCAGAAGCTTTCCTGCCTTTCTTTATCAAGACTGTGGGCCACTTCGCTAAATACATCGTGCGGAAAGGCCAAGACAAGCAGGGCGAGTTCCAGCGAACAAATTTCTGTAAAGCTATAGAATCCAAGAGCATGCGGCGGTTTGTAAAGCGGTTCGTACAGACGCAGATGTTTGACCTGTTCGTTCAGGAAATGGAACAGAGGCCCGTCTCTCAGGACGGCACAGGTGAGACCCCTTTGGCTTACTGCTATTAGCAGTGATCAGTAAATTAGTAGTTCGACATGCATGGCGTGTTATTGATAGTTCTTTTGTAATTATTATACTTTTAATGACCAATAATTACGAGGCCACGTGGAATATTTGTCACATTGCGAGTAGAGCTGCACGATTTTGGCTAACATCACTATTTTATTAAAACGGCTTGAATGAATGATTCAATTACTTGTTTCAATACTGGAAGAATCAGCATTTTTGAACGAATCTCTTGAATGAATGATGCAGCGACAGATCATTTTTTAACAGAAATAACGATACTGTGTGTGGTTGAACAGACTGAGAAGCAGCTGTTTCATACCTACACTCTCTGGCTCAGCGGCAGCGCAAACACAGATTTGAAAGTTCTGGTGTCATTTTTTCAAATGTTTAATAGACACAGCAGGATCGTTGTCATTTTAAGAATGAGATCGCGTGGGTGATTGAATCGAGATCTTTTAATGATTTATCGTGCAGCTCTAACTGCGAGACTATGAATGAACTGTGGAGGCAACAGGGTGATTTTGCTTGAGAAGAGGATGGTTGAAATATCAAATGATCTTGAATAGTAATTACTTAATAGTTATTTTTCCTTTTCTTCCAGGATTTTTTGACAAAAAGATTGCTGAATACGAGAAAAAGATGAGAGAGAAAGTCAAGAAACACTAGTGGAAGCACTCACCAAAGTACCAGCTTGTAAATCTTGTGTGAAATACATCGGTTTGTAGTCAAATAATTTTAAGGAATGTAGATAGAATTAAATGTCCGATTATTTTTTATTTATGTTCTCATGTGTTCGGATTGTCAGATCTTTACTGCTGTTTGTCATTTGTGTTGGGGCCTCGGGTCTCGGGGGGTAATGATTTTGTGATAAGCTGCTGTATTTATGTACTGTATGTAAGGCTTGTTTTAGCTAGAAACGTTTTGACTAGAACAGAAACTGAGCCAGTAGAAACATGCCGAATTGAAAAAAACATACATTTCTAAATGCATTTTAAATGGAAACAACAATGGAATTGAAGATTTCATCTCCATAGATCATCACAAATTACTGTAAAAGCACTGAAAGATGTCCAAATTTGCAATGTGTTTATTCTAAAATTAAAAGGAAAAAACATTTACTTTAAAGTGATTATTTCGCATTATTATCATTTGTGATGTAACTATGCTGATAAAACTTGTCACATATTTATACATGGTTATAAAAAAAGTCTCCCTTGATATTTTCAAAACATTACATAAAAGCATGGCAAGAAAATGTAACATCACAGAAGCTTCTCGTGATCATGAATATTCAGATTTGTGAAGTGAATGTCGGCTGCGGTGTTTGATGTCGGACGCAAGGTGGGAGAGTGTTTGTCAAATGGTACCAGCCAGTAGAGGAGAGCGTTCTTCATGAAGCACATGCTCTCGCTCTTCATAGTGAGGATAATCGTAGAGATGGTTACTCTGAAGTACAGGCTGAACCCTCAGAGTGATTTTCTGGTCAAAAACACGGTTTGTTTCAACTTTATGTTAAACTACAATTATGTATAGACAAAAGCATACAGAATTTAACATACAGTGTGTGTATGTGTTTAAATAGTATGACAAGATGACTTATGAACTGGTGATCATACCTGGAAATCATGCATGTACGTGAAGAAAAAGCAGATGAAGGAGAATGCCAGAGACCACTCTGCTGAAGCACTGACCTGGTGCGGTATAAAACCCTGAAATACAGTACAGTTTACATTTACATCTACACATATCCATTAGCGATGCTACAGAGCTGCAGTTTTATACATTCCTGGGCAAGAAAAAACTTTAAAAAACTTTTGCTGATAATTTACTCACCCCCATGTCACCCAAGATGTCTACGTCTTTCTTTCTTCAGTTGAAAAGAAATTAAGGTTTTTGATGAAAACATTCCAGGATTTTCTCCATATAATGGACTTTATTGGGAACCAAACTGTCCAAATGAGAGTTTCAGTGCAGCTTCAAAGGGCTTTAAACTACACCAGACAATGAATCTGGGACCCTTCGAGTCATTACTCGAAAAAAGATTTGTTCATTTTGATTTTGAGTTTGAACAGGAGAGTCACGAACGCTCATCACAGAACAGAGCAAGGCGAACATTTGTGCTTATAAAACTTAAACTTTTTTATTTATTTTTGAAATGTCCGATCATTTCACTTGATAAGACCCTTATTCATCGTCTGGAGTCGTTTAAAGCCCTTTGAAGCTGCACTGAAACTCTCATTTGGACCTTGAACCGTTTGGTTCCCATTGAAGTCCATTATATGGAGAAAATCCTGGAATGTTTTCATCAAAAACCTTCATTTCTGAAGAAAGAAAGACTTGGACATTTGGAAATAATTGCACAAATAATGTAGATAAATGACCTCGTAATAGCCTTCCCCTTTATTTTCTTGAAACGTGTAAGCTGTGTGGGTAAACTTGCAGTCAGCTTTTTACAGGAAGTTGTTCAACAGTGTTGTTCCACCCATTTTTAACAGCTTCAAATAGTTCATGAGTAGTTGAAAAATCCAGTTCGAACTCTCCCAGTTCGTTTGAGTTTAATTCTGAGCGACCAAATATTCCCTACACGATTCAAGTCTAGGCTCTGACCAGGCCAAAACATGAGCCTGATGGGCTTGTTCAATTTGGGTAGGAGCACTATCTTGTTAAAAAAATAACATCTGACCATTCCTCTTTAGATAACTTTTCATTTTTGGGAAGCAAGCCATTCTCCAATATTCTCGTGTACTCCAAAACAAAGCATTAATTGACTTTTCACAGTGAAGTTGCTCACCAATACCAGCAGCTAAAGGCTCCTCTTCCTCTATCCTTCACTGTGCTAGAGATGCATTCATTATTATATTTCTCACCAGGCTTTCGAAGACAGCGCTCTGGAGCATCATCAAGCAACTCGTGTTTTATTATGATGTGGTAGTATATTTGAAATATTAAAAGTAAAGCACATCATCTGTCTTACTCTCTCCCAGTGTAACTTATTAGGGACATCCACACCAGGCAGGTCATCATACAATAGCACAAAGGATATGAAAACTGACAAGTCAAAGAAGCAGAACAGGTATAAGTATTGGCACAACTGGCGAATTATAAATAAATATAGACAATTATATATTGAGGAAAGGATACGTGTGATTATGCTAAAGAGCGTCCACATTCCCACAGCCATACGTGCCCATAGAATTCCTCTGCCATGGAAACGCGGCTGCATGCGGTATGACATGCCGGTCTGAATCAGGATATACAATGTCCCAGGGCCGAAGGTCAACCCCGCCCCAAAAAGGTGGATGGATATCATATCTGTTTTCTGAAAGAATAAAAAAACAAAACATTACACTCACAGTTTCAGAAATGAAAATATTAACAAGATCATAGTATCAAGTGTGTGTTTCACCTGGAAGTTGGCCACAACACACATCCCTACAGTGCTGAAGATGCCCATCAGGAGGCCTGTGTAGTTCAGCAGCTGTAAGCCCGACTCAGAGGCCGAAATTAAAGCCTCAACTTGTTTATATCGTACATACATGGTGCCCAACCCTGCAAACACACAAATGGGAGAGCAAGAATTCTCTACATCCTCCCGAAATATCCACACTGACATTTTTTTTTAAATTAGTTTTTGACAAAAAATAAATCAAACATATATAATAATCTCCCCTTTAGAAGTTGCATATGTTTTATGTGTGTTGGCCTGATTTGGCTGCAAAATTACAAAAAAAAAGTTGCAATATTAATCATTTTGTCTCCATTTGTATACAAAACATTTAATTTTGTAATCATTTTTTAATTTACAAAGCATGGGTGCAATGGATACATCTGCCTTAATAAATTCTAGTTCATATTTATCCAACTCCATTAAGTTATAAGATGCTTAAAGCAACATTTCAAAGTTTTAGGTGGATCATTTTCTGAATAATAACCTAAAAATATTACAATTATCCCTGCTCTCTCTTATAGCCAATACTCGTTGGACTGTACTATACTAAAACATAAAATTTAATGCATCAAGTTACATTAAAAGTTATTTATTCCATGGTCTGTCTGAACACTCGATTCTGATCTGATTTATGTTTTTCTCTGAATACCCGATTCTGATTGGCTGGAAGGTAGACTGTCTAAAGTGGACCATCAAAATAAAGTGCTTTGATACTGTATCGCTACATTATATTTCTCAGTGACGATGAGGTTTTGGTTTTAAATTAGTTAAACTCACAGCTGCGATGTTAAGAGACGCAGGTAATTCACACACTAATCTCTCATTTCTCTCTATAATGATTTAAAATAAATATAATTCATTCATTCAAATAAATATAATCTTCCACACTACTTTAATCTCTGTGTCTGATTAAAAGCAGAAAGCTAATCTAACCAGTAACTGACAAAACTAACCATCATTTTTACCCTTCTGGTCACATATTGTGCCGCAAACATCAACACTTCAACTATACAAACACCATTAATATATATATATATATATATATATATATATATATATATATATATATAAATAAGTTAACTTATTACTGAACTAAAACCCTTTGGTAGCAATTTGAAGCAAAAATTCAGAACTCTAGTGGAAAAATTGCACGGCATTACCTAAGAAAGCTGAGATTGACAGCATGAAGCCAAACACACAGCGTTCAGGAACCTCAGTGCCCGTGTCACTACAAGCAAAATGAGAAATGCAAAGTATGACAGATGAAAATAAAAACAGATTTTGAATCAGTCAGCTAAATCTGGAAGAAAGAGGTGGTGTTTCCCAGAATGTTTCTGATCTACAACCACCAAACTCTTAAAAGCGAATACTATAGTATAGTATAATATACACACAATACTATAAAATGCATAATTTTTTTACTCTATACATCCCAGGTATTCATTCTAGGATTGTCACATTACCAACATTTCTGTAGTAAGTACTAATACCAGCCAAAATTCAGGGTTTTTTTCCTTACTAATTTTTCTTAAAAAAAAATGCTAGATTGCAAATAAGGAAAAAACGACAGTTGGGTTAAAACATAGTTAAAACATTTTAACCAATCTTTTTATTGTTTTTATAGTGTTGTTTTTATATTGTTTTAATCATTTAAAAAAAAAACATTTAACAATAAATTAATAAATAATACATTAAAAGGTTGTAATTGTAACATATAGACTTGGTACTGAAGTACAGATAAAATGTTTATCACAGACCATTTAAGTCTTAAAGGGATAGTTCACCCAATAATTATTTTTTTGTCAATCATTTACTGACCCTGTATGCATTTCTTAACACAAAAGAATATTTTGAAGAATGTTGGCAACCAGACAGTTTACAGTAGCCATGTTTTCCCCATAATATGGACCTCGACACCATTGACCGTTTTGTAAGTGACATTCTTCAAACTATACTCTTTTGTGTTCAGCATAAAAAAGAAAATGATTACAGAATTTTCCTTTTTTGATTGAACTATCCCTTAAAAGATGCAGTAATCTTTCAGGATCTTACCTTATGTATGGAAAGAGCAGGTCAGCATGGCCCAACATGACCGCTGTGGCATAAGAGATGAGGAACGTAGCAGATGACCAGGTCACCAGAGCCACCGGTAGAGCACAAAGCCCCCGCTGAAACCACCACATACTGCCCTCACATAGGACCGGTCTGAGCAAACTCACTTACTGAGGTCACCAACATGAAGAAGAATCACTAAAACATGAAACATGGAGCTAAAAGGTCAAATCAACCCAACAGATAAACAGAGAATGTTACACACACATTGAAGACAGGATACACATCAATACTGAACAAAACCAACACTCTTATTTCCTCATGCAAACAGAAATGAGGGGACGACAGGTCGACTGAGGCTCAGCATTACCAAACGAAAAGGAGATGAGCATCATCCGAAGAAGCTGAATTAGTCACACAGAAGTTATTGTGCACAAACACAGAAAAATAGAGTCGAAACATGTTAGTAGCTCAGAGGGGGTTAGTGCCCGGGGAATCTGAAGTCTTACACTGGTCCGGTGTGTTTTTGTGAGATGCTCTCCCTAAAGTCCTGTGACCGAAGTCAGCTGACACTCATTCAGCGTGATTTCACTTTCTGCACTCAGAGAAATGAACACACACACACACACACTGACTGTATCCTCTGCACACGGTCACCTCTGAAAGCTGGTGTGTTAACCACATTGGAAATAGCTCAGAAATGCTACACTGACAGTCGAAAGTTTGGAATAATTAAAAAAAATTAATGTTTGTGAAAGAAGTCTCTTATGCTCAATCTATTTGATGAAAAATACAGTAAAAAAAAAAGTAATATTGTGAAATATTTCAGGTTTGTTGAAAGCGATTAGATCAAGTTTTATAGGCCTATTGTACAATAAGTTCAGGGATTTTATTTTAGATTAAAAAGGCTTCCACTGTGGTCAGAAAAGCCTCTCAAAATACTATAGGCTGGTTAACTGCTCCAACAATGCAGATGATTCATTTGTGAAGTAATGTATGACTGTAGCTGAAAGATAAACACTGTTCATTTACAAAAAAACAGAGTAATACACAGTTGGAGATTAATAAAATACCAAAGTGGTTATGAAATTCCAAATACATGACTTAAAGAGAATATGAATTGGTTATTTAGAATAAAGGCAAGTTCACACAAAGAACGACAACTATAAAGATACGTTAGCTATAACCCGTGAACTCGAACTAGATCGATGTACTCCCATTTACGAGCTCTAAACGTCACATAGCCCGCAAAACCATACAAAACAACAATGGTTTGTTTACATCTAGCTCTATTCCTTGCGCTCAGGTAGTTTGGCGTGACTGGCCTGGAACGCTACAAAGTCGTTATTACGTGCTCAAAAACCTGCTTGGGACTCAGCGCGCGCTGCGGATCGGATGTCGTCTGCCTCATGAGTTCACTTTTCAAAAAACTTGCTGATAATTTACTCACCCCCATGTCGTCCAAGATGTCCATGTCTTTCTTTCTTCAGTCGAAAATAAATGAAGGTTTTTGATGAAAACATTCCAGCATTTTTCTCCATATTATTATGCTGGGCACCAAACGATTGAAGGTCCAAAAGACACTTTCAGTACAAACTGCAAACTGTTCAAAGGGCTTTAAACGATTCCAGACGATGAATAAGGGTCTTATCAAGCGAAATGATCGCTCATAAAAAAACATGTTTAAGTTTTATAATCTCAAATGCTCGCCTTGCTCTGTTCTGTGATGCACGTCTTTTCAAACTCGTTCATCAAAACGAACGAATCTTTCTCCGAGTCAATTCGTTCGTTGAATGAACCAATTGACTCGGAAAAAGATTCGTTCATTTTGATGAACGAGTTCGAACAGGAGAGTCGCAAACGTGCGTCACAGAACAGAGCAAGGCGACCATTTGAGCTTATAAAACTTAAACTTAATTTATTTTTTAAATGAGCGATCGTTTCGCTTGATAAGATCCTTATTCTTAATCTAGTGTTGTTTAAAGCCCTTTGAATTTGCAGTTTGTACTGAAAGTGTCTTTTGGACCTTGAACCATTTGGTTCCCACTGAAGTGCATTCCATGGAGAAAAATGCTGGAATGTTTTCATCAAAACCTTAATTTCTTTTTGACTGAAGAAAGAAAGACATGGACATCTTGGATGACATGGGGGTGAGTAAATTATCAGCAAAGGTTTTTTCAAAAGTGAACTACTCCTTTATTTCTCATAGGTTTTTAATGTTTTTAGCGTTCATCAAAAAAAAAAAAAAAAAAATGTTCTGAAAGTGATTCCAGTCATACCGTTTCTCTGTGCCGTTTTTGTAACGTTAGTTGTGGTGCTATTCTTTCTATTTAGGACCTTTAAAACTATCTTTGTGGTTTCGTTTATATTATCGTCCTTGGCGTGAACGAGCCTTAAATCTGCACTTCATATATTAAAATACCTTACTATGTTAAAAATGCAGTACTTGCCATTTCACTACACCAAAAACATACTTCTCACTAGCTGCTTTTATATTTACAATATTTTTAATGTTTTTTACTATTTATTTTCACACTATGATGCTCAAAAAAACAACAACACACATTTGTACTGAACACCAGGGAACGTTACTCCAAAAAATACCACAGTTCTACTATAGTCAAAAACCATGGTATATTTTTGCTAGTATAAGATTTATACTAAAACAAACTGAGGCAGTGATCAAGAAATCTGCTAACATAAATATAACAATCTTTATTTCACGACCATTAATCTATTAAAAAGAAAGGTGTTTGCTGTAAATCAACAAAACAACAAAATCCTGGTCAAATTAATACAAATATGCAAATGCAGTTGCAGCGACAGACATCATTTTTTTTCAACTATGTGTGTCTTGCAACTTTGGTTGACCTCAGCGAGTCCCCGGTGAACGGATGATGCTTAAAATGGGAGAAGCACAAATACACAGAAACCCACTGACATAAGATTCACAACATGATTAAAACATTTCCAATCACGACTCACACCCATAGACTAAAATAACATGTACAAGCAACTGCTCAGAGGTAGATGCAAAACAATAACGCGTTTCGAGAAATTGACATTGAGCTTGGCCACTCTGTTCATATTCTACACTTGGAAGCACCCGATACAGAACTGCAGGGTTAATGTCTATTGTTTTGCAAAAAATACAGTTTCCTCTGAAACAAATTAGCATGAAGGTAAAAAAAATAATATATATAATGACTGATTTAGCTATAAGAACTCAATGAAACAAGCAGGAATATGAAATTGCATCTTTGTCGAGTTTGATGCTGTGAACATAATTTACTTACAAACAAAATACGATTTACACGAGGCTAAAAAAATATCAAAATCGCTGAGTCCAACTTTTACTGTGCATAGAAGTATAACGACAGTGACAAATAAAAGGCACAAAAATAATTTAGCACAGGTTATCACATTAACTAAAGCATTTAGACCACAAACAGGATTTTTAGGTTATTATTAAAGGTTCACATATGTACAGTGCATCTCATAACCATTCTAGACGTTTTCCTTGGCCCCAATTATTAGGAAAATATGGCACTATCAAAATACTGTTTCTAATACAGTTTTTATTATTTAGTGACATGGGCATACCCAACTAATAATATTAATTCCCTCAAAAACACAACAAACACAAAGAAACATATGCATAGAAAGATAATTAGCATTATGTGAGATTCTAGATGTTTCTGCAATATATGATGGAAACACCTGTGGCTTGTTTTTCATGTCAACGTTATCTCGTAGCTCTCTGAAAGCTTTGTATTGGCAAAAGTGATGTGTACTGGTGTGTAAGTAAATGGCCGCAAAGTTTACAATTAATACCTATGGCATTCTGTAATTATTACATAATTACATTCAGATGTATCGTTGGTCGTAAACGGAATAAATTATACACTGCAGGCCCAAAAAAAAAAAAAAAAACACAAAACATTAAAACTGAAAAATATAATAACTTTTGGATCTTCTATTCTTTGACTTACAAACAAAACTATGGCAAAACAAAACTGGTCATCTAACATTGCAATACTGACAACTGAATGATGTTATAACCGTTGGATGCCTATTCTTTTTAACATTCCCTTTCAGCCTTTCATATCCTCTCTTCATTACGAGAACAAAGTTTGTAACTGCAGCCATTTGGGCTCGGTCTCTGTGAGTTGTGTTTTACATTCACTGAAGTGCGTGACCTACTGGAGGTGTTTGAGGAGCAGGGGTTAGTGGTGATTTTTGCTGTCTGCCTGAACTCTGGATGGAGAGGGAGGCTGGATGCTGAAGACACGGATGTTTAAGTGTGTGGCGATCTGGTTACACACACTCACGCAGTATCGCACCAGATCAAACGCTGACAGCACCTACGAACAAAAAGGAAAACGTTCAAGCATGGCAAATGCATTTTTGATGAAACATTTTAAAGCAGCAAACTGTTTGAGCTTTTTGAGGTTAAATAAAGGTGAAGATTTGTAAAGTTAAAGAGCCATGATATACCAGACTCAGCTAGGAATACAGCGTTTGAGGGCGGGTCGAAGTAGACATTGGTTGTGGGCAGCCAATGAAGACCATGGGCTGGCATTATGCAAATTGATTACATTGACGTTACAGGAAGTGAGACCAGAATTCCTGACGACTCATTTCAGGCAAATAGAGACAATCATTTTTCTGGGAAACTCTGTATACCCTTTACATTCACAAACATTACACAAAACGTAATATTTGAAAAAGCAAAATAGGGGCACTCAGTGCGAAAAGTGAAACGGGATGTTCAATGAGAGGTGAAAGTTTTGCATTTGGTGAGCTAATAAAATATTTAAACTCGAATCAATATTTTGTGTAGTTATTTAATTATGTCATCTGGGAGACATTTATTAAAAAAAGTAAATTGTGTCAATTTTAATTTCATGTTTGTTTGTTTGTTGTTTATGTGACTTGAGTTGATGGTATCTGAACGACCTTTTCTTCAACTTGGTCTCAGTAGACCGTGGAAGTAGCTTTGCGATGTGAAAATTAAAGCATGTCTGCCTACTACACTGAGCTCTTTATTTCAAAAGAGCAAGGAGAATCAATGTTTTCAGACGTACCAGAGCGACCCACAGAAGACAGTACTCATTAATGAAACTGTTGAAGTACTGATTCAGAAACAGCAGCGCTGGTCCGGTGAAGGCCAGGTCATTACGTGGCATTTCACTTTTTGTCATATGAGCAACCTGGAAAACAAACCAGATGTGATTGTAGTGACCTTCAGATTAACTGATACTAATGCTGACAGATATTTACAGACAGATAACTACAGACAACAATGTCAATTATTTATGCTGAAATGTGCAGAAAATCTTACTAACTGCAATTTTGTGCTTGCGTGCAGCTTAAGACATAATAAAAAGCAAGCTAAGACCAAAAGTTCAGGTAGAGGCAGGGCCTGACATTAAGTTTTTTTACTCACCAGCCAGTGTGGCTAGTGGTTTTCCAAAGTTACTAACCACAATTTTAACATCAATACCGTGGAGGAATCACTTTTAATATTATCTCATAATTTTGCAGCAGGGATATTAGGCTGCTGTCAGTTTAAGACCTGACTCACGGATCCATACTGTTACGCATGCTTTTTCTTTCTCAAACATTTACGGTTAACTTAAATACATGAATGACTGTGTTTACATGAATACTTGCTAAGACCGGTATTTAGAATTTATTTGACCTTATGGCATTGTGTCTATTTGACTGTTTATGTGCAATAAGCAGCAGAAAAATAAATACATTTAGTAACTACTGTGAGAAGGCTTTATGTGCATGCACTTTGGATATGAGCACAAAATCGGAGTAAAATTATGCGCAATGCGAGCAATCCCACGCCAAGATTCAAGCCTTGTAACACCAACGATATTCATCTGGAGCAAATGAAACGAGTAAGGGGAGGCGGGTTTGTGTGTCATCTGAGAGATGAGAGAACGAGAAAGCGAGCCCTGGGTAGGGTAGAGGTACAGTATATCAATAATCTGCCAGTAGTATTCATGTTTTAGGAGCAATTTAGTATAGTACTTATTTAGAGAAGCTGAAATAAATACAGCATACTGATGCCATAAACTTACCACCAGTCTGTTGGTGATTTTGGCCGAGACAAACCCAAATGCTAAGATGTATAGACAAGGATGTCTCTCAAAGAGCTGCACTGATGACTTCTTATAGATCATTAGAGCAAGTGTGATGACCACTCCTATATGGAAGGATGGAGACAAAACACTTGTTCCCTAAAAAAAAACCAAACAAAAAAACAAGTTGAGCCACTAATTTAGATTTAACAAACTTTTTTTTTTCCAAAGGATTAATAGCATCCAAAATAAAAGTTTGTGTTTACATAATATATGTGGGTGCACTGTATAAAATTGTTTTATATATATATATATATATATATATATATATATATATTCTATATAAATGTATATATATATATATATTTTCTATATACTGTATATAGATTTATATATAATTAATATTATATAAAAATATAAATATTTTATATATAAATAATATTTTTGTCTTAAATATACATGCATGTGTGCGTATTTACATATATAAAATAATTATACACAGTGCACCCACATATATTGTGTATACACAAACTTTTATTTTGGTTGCGATTAATCATTTGACAGCTCTAATCTATAATAAACAATGCAAATGCCTGACACATACCATTTAAAAAATATATTAATTATCAAATGTTAATTCAATTAAGAAAATAGGTTACTTATAGAATTAAACAGCATCAAAACAGAATTAAAATGTAATTAAATAACAGAAAATTATTAAAAGACATTGCCATTTTTATTTCATCTTTATGCATTTTTTTTTCACACACCTTAGCTTTAACTTACCGCAATAGTTGATCCATTTTTGCCCATTCCACCTGTGAAAATAACCCGGAAGTAGTTTGTGCAGGAGAAAACGGCACCCAGAAGAGTGAAAAGGGCTGGTATTATTTTAGCCTGGATATTCATCACAGGGATCTGAAAGATTAAAAACAAATCTCTGATGTCTTGTTTCATTATAGCAGCATATACTGCAGCATGTGCTAATAAACAGAATGATATCATCCGCTGGTGTGGACACTGATTTAGTTATCGTTCTTGGTGTGACCGGGCCATAAATGTTTAAAATTAAAGGGATTCTGCATTTCCCTCAACACATGCAGCATGCTAGGGATTTTCAGATCATGATATATAGATTAAGCACATTTGTCCTTGAGCATATGCTTTAATCAACTGACAAAAATGTGAAAGAATTAAGATGGATTTAAATTACCACAGATTGCCAAAAAGCTGTTCCTCCAATGGCAGCCAGTAAGTACATGATTATAATGAAGATTTGTACTTCAGTCACATCAATTCTGCACAAGCAGAGAGCAAAGAGAGATTAAAAGAAGAAATAAAGTTAGTTATGTATTAATCTCATTCTTTCTATATGTAGTGCTTTATCAACAGCACAACAGCAGTCTGAAAACTGCTGGTTTCCCATGAGTAGACCAGACGATCATATAATGACTTTCAATTAGGGAACACATATTCACTATTAACTAGGAGTTTTCCCCTCAATAAACTCCTAATTACTGCTTATTGATAGTAAGTTGTTGTTGTAGTGGTTATGTTTAGGTATGGGGCAGGATTAAGGAATGTAGAACATGGTCATGCAGAATGAGGCATTATTATATGCTTTACAAGTACAAATAAACAGCCAATATGCGAGTATAATGCATGCTTATAAGCAACTAAAAGTGAATAGTGTTCCCTAATCTAAATCTTTGTGTACTGAAAGTAAAGTACAGGAGCCATGAATTGTGATTAAAAGGCAGGTTTTCACTCACATGCCAAAGCGCAGTGTTCCAGAAACATACGTCTGCCAGTGGGCACAATAAAACATGAACATGCCCACAAAACAACAGAAAAACATCCAGTCAGGGTGAGTACCCATCTGAACTGCTATACACGTGCCCAGGATCACAAACACTGCATCAGAGAAAGACAGGACACAAAAATACAGGCGTCACATTTGCATGTGCATATGGCCATCTATCTATTGAGGAAATCTTGCCCAAAATATGACCAAAAAAGAGGTGGTATAAGAGATGGAAAACAAAGCAATCATTGCCTTAACATACTCCTAGTATAGCTAATCAGCATAGCTAACCCCATGATTTGTATTATCTTAGAACTGTACCTTTCTGCCATATGGACATTACATTGAAACAGTCACCTCGGATCATTTGCATGCATTTTCTGTAAAGCTGCTTTGAAAAGATATGTAATGTTATGTGAAAGTGCTATTCAAATAAATGTAAATGTAACTGGATCTAATAGAAATGTCTGATGGAAAGGAATTAGCAAAGTTATTTTTCCACTATATTTATACATGTTATTTTAGTAATGCCAAGCAATATAATAGTAGCCGACTGTATTTGCATATACAAACGTGAGCCGACCTGTAGAAAGGGAGTCACAGCCGTGGTCAAACAGCTCGCCGAGTGGCGTGCTGCTATTGGTCCGTCGTGCCTGCTTCCCATCTATGGCATCCAGTGATTGGTAGATGAACAAACCCAAAGCACAGGCTAAGTATGCCCATGTTGGTGCCTGAAAAAGACAGACCACATTTAAATAAAAATGACTTGGATGGATGCTTTTCACAGATTTTGAGAGCCAATGACCAACATCTAACTTCACACTAACAGACACAAAGGTGGACACTAAAGTTGTGCTTTTATCCCTAATAAATACTAATGGTACATGGAGAGAGGGTGTCGTATTGCAGACTTTTGCGATGTGGCTGTTTTCCATAGCAGCAGGACTCATAAGACCGTTATATCTGATAAACAGCCAGCCGTCAGAACAAGCTGTCTGACAATACACCGCATCCTATCATGCTGTTACCAGACCACAGCAATTATCTCCTCAGTAGAGCTCAGAATATAATCAATTATGGCCTTCATAGACTACATGTGAGGTAGGGTAAGATGTAAAGCCAAGACTTTATTGCAATCGCTACTTCTTATTCATAATTAATACATTAGAACTGATATTAAAAGACCACATCCTACTAGTGACTTTTTCAATAGCTAGGCTATTAAATATTCATTAGTGGAATTAAACTGATACAAAGATTGACAAAAAGGTCACGTCCCAATGGTGATCTCTAAACCCAATTTAAAAATGATAATGAATCTAAAACTAAAACTGACATAAAAGGACAAAAAAAAGTGTGTTCTAATGGCGACCACAGTAAAAGAAGTTAAACATTCATAATTAAATAAAACTGATTATAATAAATCATCAAAAAGGTCACGTCCTAATGGTAACCACTGTAATAGACATTAAACAATCTAAAACTAAAGAACATATTCTCATGGTGACTACAATAATAGCTTCTAAATATTCATAAGTGGACTGAACTGATATTAAAATTAGTTGTGATGATGACCACTGCAATAACTATTTAAATATTCATAATTATTAGACTGAAAACTATATTACAAAAAACATTTCCTAATGCAATAGCGGGTTGTTAAATATTCATAATTAAAATAAAACCGATTGAAATCTATTGAAAAAGCCCAGATTCTTAAGCTGACAACAATAAAAGCTACTAAATATTCATAAGTAGACTGAACTGAACAACAACAAATGGTTACCACTGCAACAGTAACTAAATATTCATAAGTAGACTGAACAACAACACTGCAACAGCAACTAAATATTCATAAGTAGACTGAACTGAACAACAACAAATGGTTACCACTGCAACAGTAACTAAATATTCATAAGTAGACTGAACAACAACACTGCAACAGTAACTAAATATTCATAAGTAGACTGAACAACAACACTGCAACAGTAACTAAATATTCATAAGTAGACTGAACAACAACACTGCAACAGCTACTAAATATTCATAAGTAGACTGAACTGAACAACAACAAATGGTTACCACTGCAACAGTAACTAAATATTCATAAGTAGACTGAACAACAACACTGCAACAGTAACTAAATATTCATAAGTAGACTGAACAACAACACTGCAACAGTAACTAAATATTCATAAGTAGACTGAACAACAACACTGCAACAGCAACTAAATATTCATAATTAGATTCAAATCCATTTTAAAATAAACAAAAAGACAATGTCCTGATAATGACCACTGCAATCACTACTAAATATTTAGAATTATACTAAAATTGATATTAAAAATAGCAAAAGACTAAATGCTGATTACTCGAACACCAACTAAATATTCATAACTGATATTAAAATCAACAAAAATTACCTAAATGCTTCTAAATATTGATAATTAGATCAAAACTCATATTAAAATAATTAATAATAATTAAAATAACTGCTAAAAATTCTCCAAAAAAAACAAAAAAAACAAAGAAATTAGGAGGTGATTTGTAGCTGATTCATCTAAGCCAATAATGCAATATAATGAAACAGTGATAATTTTAGTAAATCATAAGCATACCTGTTCGGTGGCAGTAGGGCAGTAGTAGACCAGTATCAGAGTGGTGATAATATTGGTAGCAAGTCCCACTATAGTGATGAGGTTCGGAGCCATCCAGAGAGGCACTTTGCTCACCAGCCAGCACCAGTATCCCTGCATTAAGGACTCCATGAGGGACCGTCCCGCACTGCTGTACTGATGATCCTCCAGCCGTTTCAGCTGCTGCCGGGACAGACGGGATACGGGAAGCTCCATCAGCTTGGTCAGGAGACCGGAGCACTCTTCTCCGGTTGCTGCGGTCAGGTCACGGGCCACAGAGGCACTGGTTTCAGAATCGGGCTGAGCCCGGACAGGTCTCTTGTGTGAGCTCATGCTTCTCTGAGGATCTGAGCGGATGTGGTGAGTGCCTAATCCACAATGAGTTTATGGGATTAGATCTATGAGAACACAACCATTAGCATGCAGAAATTAATATGGAACAACTCAGGAATTGATATTTAACTAAATGTTTTTGTAGGGTGGAGTAATAGCTAACTGCTATTTAGTAAATGATTTCCACACACTAAGATCTGAAAAAATCTATAGTTAAATGTATTACTCAGAGACAACAGAGAGTATCCATTTGGACAAAAACAATCTGCATGAACCATTTCAGCAGTACAGAGACTTCACTTCTAAGAGTAGTGAATGACCTCCTCCTCCTCCAGCCTTCTGGTCCTCTTAGACCTGAGTGCAGCTTTTGATACGGTTTGCTATTCTCATTGTATATTTGTAAAGTGTCCTTGAAAGGCGCTATATAAATATAGACATATATACTTTATCAGTCTCTCAAATCATTGTAGATAAATTTTGGCCCACTCTTCTTTGTTTTTTCACAGTTATCTCAAGGTTTCCGCCACAGCGATAAATCTGGTTGAGGTCTGTGCCTTTGACTGGGCCATTGCAACACCTTGATTCTTTCCTTTTTCAGCCATTCTGTTGTAGATTTGCTGGTGTTTGGGATCATTGTCCTGTTGCTGGACCTAATTTTAGCCAAGCTTTAGCTGCCCGACAGTTGATCCCTCACAAACGATTCTAGAATACTTTGGTATACAGAGGAGTTCATGGTCGATTCAATGACTGCAAGGTGCCCAGCTGCAAAACAACCCCAAATCATCACCCCTCCACTACAGTGCTTGACAGTTGGTATGAGGTGTTTGTGCTGATATGACGCGTTTAGTTTTTCGTTAAATAAAATATGGCGCTGCTGTGCATTTTGGCCAAACATCTCCACCTGTCTTGTCTGTACAAAGGACATTGGAGGCATTCTCCTGGCAACCCTTTCAAACATGCTAAACTTGTCCAGTCTGTTTCTAACTGTACTGTCATGAACTTTAACATTTAACATGTTAATTGAGGCCTGTAGAGTTTGAGATGTAGCTCTTGGGTGTTTTGCAATTTCTCTGAACATTGCACGGGCTGACCTTGAGGTGAATTTGCAGGAAAGCCCACTCCTGGGAAGATTTTCCAAGTTTTCCACTTGTGAATAATCCTCACTGTAGACTGATGTGACTTCAAATGGTTTAGAAATGGCTATATAACCCTTGCCAGATTGATGGGCAGCAACAATTGCTTCTCTAAGATCATTGTTGTTGTCTTTCCTCCTTGCCAGTGTGTTAACACACACTTCTGAATGCACCAGACCAGCAAACTGCCAAAAACTACAGCTTTTATATAGTTGGTCATGCTTGCTGATGATCAGTTAATCAAAGGCATTTGATTAGCAGCGCCTGACTGCAACTTAATTCCTATGGAAGGGTGTACTTAGTTTTTCACACATGGCTTCTCAATTTTGGCATAGTTTTTTTTTTGTTTTTTTTGGAAAAAATAATGACACAGTGAAATATGTTATGTGTTGTAGTTCATCTGAGGTGGTACCTAACTTTACCTAACTTTAAGATATTCCAAGGACCAGATGATTTTTGTTATTATGTCCTGATTTGAAAACCATAGAATTCAAAAGGTTGTACTTTCTTTTATACATGACTGCATATATATATATATATATATATATATATGCAGTCATGTACATATATATATATATATATATATATATATGTATATATATATATGTATATATATATATATATATATATGCAGTCATGTACATATATATATATATATATATATATGCAGAATTCAAATTTTATTATAGCAGATGTTCTACCATGCTTTATACTTTATTTGAGGCCTCTTAAAATATTAATTTAATATGTTCTTAATAGTCAAATTCCCTATCACATTTTACATACATTTTTATTTCAGGCAATATTATAAATGTGATATAAATAATTTAACAGTAAACCCATTTTAGAGTCAGTGTGATTAATAAAATTGGGTTGAGACCAACAATACATGCCACCCCAAAATACACCTGACACTAAAGAAAAAGGCAGGACTGAAAGATAAGAGAAATGATTCATTGGGATCTAATAAAACCAAACCCTTGCAATGTGGCATTGTTCTGTCCTGTATGTTTTATGAAGTACTCACCAGTCGACTGTATTTATGAGATCTGTAACAGCCCATTAAAATCCTTCTACTGGATGATGACGTCAGCTTGATAACAGTATGAGTGACGTCGTCAACTTGATGGCGATCTGTCAAACGTGTCAGACAATTTTAGAATTTTGATATACGTTTATAATTGTTATTAATGTAACATTAAACACATTTTTAGAGGCAGCGTGATTAATAAAGTAAAAGTGTAAACAACAGTACCTTTGTTTACGTGGTGAAGATATCTTCTCTCCTCGCAGCATTACCCTGGAGATGCCCGTGTGATGCAAAAAAGTTGAATTCTTAAATAAATGATAAATAACTCAGACGAGGAAGTGCCAAGACGAACAACCGTTCGCATGAAGGGGGAGAGGCAGTGGTGAAGGATCGTTGACCGACGGCAGCGCAAACGGCGTGGATGAGATGCAGAGGCGTGAAAAACGCTTCAATAAAGAAACGACAACACCTTCCGGAAGTAGATATTTCAAAATAAAAGAAAAATAAAAAAATTAAGTTAATCAGATAAGTTCATTTTTAAATTTCATAATTTAAATGTGGAATTAAAAAACGAACAGCCATCAATTCGTACAGAAATAAATAGTGTTAGTTAGATGTCTTATATTGATGTTAGCAATGAGTTCAAAACATGAAAGGCTAATCATAGTGAAATGTGACGGTACTTACACAGTTTGGTCTAGGGCTGTTATAGATTTTCATACTGCCATTGTTTTAATTATGTACTTTGTATTCGTTTTTGCGCAAAAAAAAAAAGAGACAAACTTTTCTTTTCGCTCAGTTTAACAGGACAAAATAATAAAACAGCGCCCCGTAGGATAATAACTTTGGAACTGTATCCACTCAAATGTATTTTTAATATTGAATTATTTTAATTAAAAAAATTAAATTAATATCTAAATTACTTATTTAGCCTCGAGTCACTTTCATTCTCAACCTTATTGGACAAAGTCGCCACAATCTCTTGAATAAAACTTTTTTACAAAGGCAAGAAATCACAGTTTGAGTATTCTTAAAAACAGTAATCAAAAGGAAAGGAAACAGGATAAAAAGTTATGATTTTGTTGAATAATTCTTTATTTAGCAACCACTGTAGTGAGAGGTGCCAACACTGAAAACATCAGCAGCGAATAAGTGGTATTCTGTTATGAGAATCTTGCTGTAATTTAATACACTTAAACATTTTAATAGGCAATGTGAGAATGTTTGGAAATTTTCAAAGTAAAACACCAAGGGATGAGTGTTTTGGTGGACTGTTAACTTCCTTTCCACAAGGAAACATGATATGGCACAAAAGCATTCTACAGATGAACAGATGAGAGAGACGGCAAAGAGAATATTATGTGGAAAAGGAATAGTGGTCTTTGAGAAACCAGCAAAATAACATGACTGCTGAATATTCCCACATTCATTCACATAACCTCAACATTTTTTTTCTCCCAGTACATTAAATGCTTCTTTGAGAACGTCTTAAACTTCAATTAGTATGCCTTCAAGAAATGGCAAGCTGAAACGGAGTAAACTGCGGCGGTAACAGCCAATCAACAGAAACCTTCACCGTGCCGAGAAAGGTAAACGGACCCCAAAAAACAAGGTTATTTAAAGTGCAGATGAACCAAGTCAGTCATGCTGGGAACAGAGTGATAATCAGTTGCTGAGTGTTCATGCATGCTATTAAGAACAACTTTGAAGGAAGGATTTCAGTGGTACAACTATAAAAAAAAAGAAAAAAAAAAGGGTAGAAAATGTGAGTATCAACCGATACAAATTTTTTACCCTTAACCTACAATGAAAAAGTAAATAAATAAAATACTAAAAATAAAAAAAAATTCTAAAACTTTCCTCAGAATCTTAATCATTCATCAAGGGTTTTAATGACGAACAAAATCCCCTTCTTTATACTCTGTTGATTTGTAAGAGAAGAAAATCACCTAATGCATTATTTCACATGTGAAAGTAGGAAAGAGTTTCTTCAGAATACTTCTGAATACTATCATGAAGCCTACAAGACTCTCGTATTTGTCGTTCCTCGGCGAGCAAGTTCCAGGCTACAGCGCGCGGGGCCGCTTGGGGTTAATCTGCTTGCTGGCTTGTTCCTCTTCTTGGAGAGTAGAACGGAATGACCTCACTTTATCTGATAATACAAGCAGACACACATCCATTAATACTCCATTCCATCAGGAAAACAAACTCTTCCGATGAAAGACAAAAACAAAAAATTCAACGCATTACCTCGGAGCTCAATAAAGATCTCAATCTTCTGGTCAAGAATCTGCTCGAGCTGAGAAGAGTAGGTGTCCACGTCATAGTCCACCTCCTCAGTCATCTCCAGGAGAACCTTCTCGTCCTCAAGCCACCTGATAGACTCCTGTCAGCACACACAGTGTGAACATCGTCATTAGCAATTCCCCTTTTCAGTTTTGGGGCAGAAGCTTATCAGAGTATAAATAAACAGAAGAAAGCAAGAACAGCAAAACAAAAGCTGACATAAAATAGCCTAAAAAGCTCTAGAGTGAAAACAAAGCAAACACCTGAAACACAGCCCTGTGGTCCTCCAAAACCTGCTCCTCCATCTCCACCAGCTGAGACACTGCCTCGTGGAATGTGAAGAGCTGAGGGGAGACTTCCTCTTCCTGTCAATATTCAAACACAAGCCCTTTATAATAAAGTGTATGGTGTACAGCATATAAAACAAGACTGAGGCAACCAATCGATTGCCTGTCTAATTTTCCTGTTTTATGCTTACAAATGATTAACAATATTTATCCTTATAAAGAAGGAATACATTGATGACAAATACAGCCTTTCTACAGCACATACAAATATATATAATAAAATTAAAATTATTTGAGGTCTAATTGGATTTTTTTTTTAGTTAAAGGGATACTCCACTTTTTTACTCCACGATTTTCTGATATTTAGAAGAATATCAGTAACCAGACTGTTTCTGGTCTCATTGACTTCCATAGTAGGAAAAAAAATATACTATAGTAGTCAATGAGACCAGAAACCTAAATATCTAAATATCAGAAAATCGGCTGAATGGATTCGAAAACGGTAAAACTCAACTGTTTAACTCTGGGGGAGTTGTAAAATGAGCCTATTTCCAAAATAAATGGAGTATCCCTTTAAGAGGACAGGGTTCATCAGCTATAGTACTTTTAGGCCCACCCCCTTTCTATCTTCCAGTTTGAATTTCCACAGCATGAAGATCTTACAGATTTATAAATCCATCACTAAAAATTTGTTACGACATCCGCTTTGAAGATTACAATAAGAAAATCCAATTCACCAGCTAATTACTCTTGGACAGCAATTCCATATAATTATTAAGAGCTACCACAAAAACTGAACTTTTCTTAGTAGAAGTAGAAACAGAAGAACTCTAAACATGGCTGCACACTTGTTTCTCTGGAGCATAAGCTCTATAACTGCAGCCAACCAGACAGGGGGAATCAAAACGTTTTGGTTTCTCTTTTTGTAGGACGTGTGCGGCACACTTGCAAGTAGACAGATGGTCACAAAATATACTTCTAAAAAGTATCGAAAGACAACATTGAAGTAGTTGTCATAACAATCTCATCAAGCATGGAGTAAGTAAAAGGAAAAGATGTGTTTATACATTCTGTTCACAGAGCAGTTTGAGGTCATCTCTCTGAGGGGAGTTACCCAACTCCCAATCCTCATCCATGATGTCCAGCTGGTTGATGGCGTTGACATTGGGGCGGATTCCCTCCGTCACAGCATTAGGATCCACGGTCAGCTCCTTCACTCTAATTGCAAAGATTGACAGCTTTTAAGATGATGTTTTTAAAAGCAATCATGCTGATGATCAGATGACCCCATGCACAGGTCACAGGACTGAAAAGCTTCAATATAATCTGGGCACTACATAGAACAATTACTGTATACACGTACCTTATTTAAAACAGAACCTTACATTATTTAGAACAAAAAGTCTAAAAATTTCTACTTTAAATAAGCATGGTATGACAAAATCTACAAACAGTTTGTTTTTTAATTGTGTCATACAAATTGTACCAGTTTGTGCAGTAAACGTCAACTGTTTATGGTGTCATCTCATTTTTTCAAATTATGTACAGTGTTTGTGTGCATTAATATTAATATAGGTGTTATTTCTAAAAGAGAAGGAAGGACAAAAGCACCACAGAAATGCAGACATTCCCAGGGTTACTGAAACTAAATGACAGCAGATCATCAGAGGGGAAATGAAAAATGTTTACACCAAGCACAGCCATTAGTGAGAGACGTGAGTGCAGCCAATGTGTCTAAAAATGAATCAGAATGTGGTTATACACATTGCTGTGCATGAAGATTTCTTTTCCATGCATCAGTTAGCCAACATGGGATATTGGTTATCTACTGAGCAGTGCTGGGGAAGCTACTTTAAAATTGCCAGACAGACTACGCTCATAATGTAATAAATTTAAGATTGTATTTAGATGTATTATAATTAAAGTTATTTAAATATATCTGATTATATTATTTTGAATCAGAACAGTATTATTTCAGAGAGGAATTTACTGTAAAAAAAATACACAAACAACTAATAAATTACCCTTATTTATGCGTCACATGGATAAAACAGCATTCAACTAAATATATCGATACAAACAAGCTGTAAACTTCTATGCAGATACTACTGAGAGGGTCAAATGAATCAGTAAATCATTTTTATGAAGTAGTCACTGAAATTAATAATCTGATCTATGGTTCTCTGAAGCAAACATTATAGTAATTGCTGTCGATAGCAATACCAGTGAACTATGACAATACTTGATACCAATTTTGAGGAAGTGATACTTTTGACATCTGTAAGCAGAAAACCGTGATTCGATAAAATTAAACTTGAGTGATCAATTAATTATGGTTTTGAGTTTTAGTTATAAGACCGCAATACAATATAACTAAAAACAATGATTTAGGGGGTTTGGTTGTAATTTTTCGCTACTTGAGATGGAAAAAAATGCGTGTTCATCAATTTTTGAAAACAGTTTGACAACTATTATGCTACTAAGTAAATAACTTTTATAATTTGTTTAGTTACCCCCCAACACTGCTGCAGTGTATCTGACTAAGAACAAGGTGGGAAGCTGCATAGACATGTGCTCATACTCATAGGTAGGAGACGGTTCAGAGCGACTTCCTCCCCCCTGAGAGAAGGGGATGTCAGAGGGGCTAATCCCAAACTCCTTTACTCTGAAGACAGTCAAGAAAGAACAGAGAAAAACAGCAAGAGAGAAAGAGAAGAGCACAGCCAATCAGGACAGACAAGTTACGACAAGACTTTCCCCATCAGAATATTAAATCATTGGTAAATACAATTTTTTTTTCATTGACGAGACAGTTGTTTTTCATAAACACACAGTCCTCACCTGTTGGCATATCTCAGAGTGTTCAGCGTGTTCTCACAGGAGGCCATACC